GTTCAGCAGTGTCCCTGAGCCCGCGCCGCGTGGAAAACAAGGTGCAGAAGATGAGGACAGGGCAGGAGATAGGCAGGGCCTGGGCCTAGCCTTGCCTCCGAGTCCACGGCGCCATGGCCGTGGTGGCGACGGGCACAGGAGCTGGGCTCTGGGCGGCCTGGGTGCAGCGTGCGTGTCTCCGCAGGGCAAGCCTGACTTGAACACGGCCCTCCCCGTCAGGCAGACGGCCTCCATCTTCAAGCAGCCGGTGACCAAGATCACCAACCATCCCAGCAACAAGGTCAAGAGCGACCCCCAGAAGGCCGTGGAGCAGCCCCGGCAGGTGAGCGTGCAGGCCCCACTCCGAGCCCTCGGTCGCCCCAGCTTGTCTACTCTTTAGAGGCGGTGGGTCCCTCTATCTGAGTGCCATGGTTGGCCATGGTCGCCCCAGAACCGAGTTCTCTGGGGAGCAGAGTCGCTCTTGCCTGCTGACAGGTGGGCAGCTGGGGTGCTGGGCCGCTGCGTTCTTGAGCAGGTGGTTGTGTCTTGCGGGGTTGTCTCCAGGAAGCGCGCGAGTGTGGCTTTATAACCCGCTCTTCAAACATTGGACACGCAGTGTGTCCAGGGGTGTTTTCGGATGCTCACTGGGCAGCAGGTGTGCCAGACAGCGGCCTTTCAGGGACTGTGACTCGTCGGTATGGACGACGTGTCTGATATCCTGGGTTTCCATCCTGCCCAGAATCGGGGTTCGTGTTTCTCTGCCCTGGGAGGATGGGCACGGCCCTCCACTGTGTCCTAAGTGGGGGCACCAGCAGCCCCAGCCAGTGTGAGGGTCAGGTTGCGCAGGTGGCTCCGACCGTCCTAGCTGCTCCAGGTCGCCTGCCATGGGCCTCACGTTTGTCTGTCTGGTTGGCGGCAGCTCTTCTGGGAGAAGAAGCTGAGTGGCCTGAACGCCTTTGACATCGCTGAGGAGCTCGTGAAGACCATGGACCTCCCCAAGGGCCTGCAAGGTAACCCCGGCCCCAGGGCGGGTGGGGGGAGTCCCCGCCTGTGCTCCAGACCCCAGACAGCCCCTCGGAGAAGCAGAGCACAGCTGGGGGCGCGGTGGGGACTGGACCAATAGGACGCGTGTCCTGAGGGCCCGGGTTGCAGCCTCGCTTCTTCACCGTGAACACGGCGGGCGGTGCTCCTTTCCTGTCGTGCAAGCGGTCGCCTACCTGTGAGAGGGTTTCAGGGACAAAACGCAGGGCTGAGAGACAAAGGCTGGTACGTGGTGGTGACCGCGCCTCCTGCTCCCCGCCAGGCGTGGGGCCCGGCTGCACTGACGAGACCCTGCTGTCGGCCATCGCCAGCGCCCTGCACACCAGCACCATGCCCATCACCGGGCAGCTCTCGGCCGCCGTGGAGAAGAACCCCGGGGTCTGGCTGAACACGGCCCAGCCGCTCTGCAAGGCCTTCATGGTGACCGACGAGGACATCAGGTAGCCACCATCCCCGCCCCCTCGCTCATGGCCAGTGTGTCTCCGAGCCTTGGGGGTGTGAAGCCTTAGAGGCACCGCTGAGGGGTCTGGTACCAGCCGTGGCTGGGGACAGGGGCGGGGGTTCTGGAGCATGGCGGGAACAGGAAGCGCGGTGGGTGAGAGGTGGCGCCCAGGAGCAGGTAGACTCGGCGTGGAGGCATCCTGGCAAAGTGCTGGTGCAAACTGGCACTGGACAGAAAACGTCTAGAAGGTCTGAAGGGTGCGTGTGCTCGCTGAGACCCGGGACTGGTGTGCGGCTGCAGGCAAGAGAGCCGGCTCCCTGGGAACCCTCAGGGGACTGGGGATAGCAGCTGCAGCCGCTGGTGCCCGGGGTCGGGGCGTGGTGGTGTTTTCTGTCGGGAACCAGGTGGGCACAAGAGGAACTCTGCCCCATGGGAGACGAAGCCACGGAACTAAGATGCCCCGGCTCCTCCCGCGGACAGGGCAGGGCGGAGCGGAGAGTGTAGGGGAGGACCCTGCTCGGCAGCACTCGGTGGCTCTGTGAAGCTGAGCAGAACGTCCAGGAACAGAAGTTGCCGCAGTGAAGGACTCGGGCCGCGGGTCAGGCGTGGGGTTTGGTCCCACCAGGAGAGGGCATGAGTGGCCGGCCGAGCAGATGAGGCTGAGCGGGTGGGAGGATGCAACGATGACAGGATGGGACCAGGCCAGCATTCACCAGACCGGGCGACAGACACACGTTGGAGTCGTGAAGACGCAGAGCTCCAGATGTGGGAGGCTGAGCAGCCGCGGGAGGGAGGCGGGTGGGTGCACGGGCCAGGCTCTGGCAGCTGCGGGGCCACGGTAACAGAGGCCCAAAGGCAGCAAGCCAGCCCCGCCAGAGTGCCTGACTTGCAAGGCTTATCATTCGTGAGACGAGTGATACTCTGGCTAGAAACAGTGGACCAGACTCAAACTGTGAACCCCACTGAGGCGATACACACCCGAAGAGCCACAGGCGCACAGACCAGAGGCGGTGGGCAGACAGGTGACCGCCATGCTGGGTAGGAGAGCAGCTGGCCAGCGCAGCGGGGTCGACATCTGTCTGAGCACTGGGCACCTGGCCCCCGCCTGACCGAGTGGGTGCAGCTCCTGGGAGGCTGAGCATGGCTGCTTGCCCGACAAGGGAGTAAGGGCTCAGACCCTAAAAGTGACCAGCCCACGTGTGCGTGCGCACCCCTTCCTCCTGGCTTCGCGCCCCGGTCTTCCGGAGGCAGGGACGTGCCCTGCCAGCGCGTCCGTGTGTCCCCAGGAAGCAGGAGGAGCTGGTGCAGCAGGTCCGCAAGCGGCTGGAGGAGGCGCTGATGGCCGACATGCTGGCCCACGTGGAGGAGCTGGCCCGGGACGGCGAGGCGCCACTGGACAAGCCAGGTGCCGATGAAGATGACGAGGACGATGACGAGGATGAGGAGCCCGACCAGGACGCAGACATGGAGCACATCTAGCGGGGTGGGCACGCTCGGCCACAGGGCACTGACCGCGGGGGGCAGCCCTGGAATCCTGGGGACTTGCTCTGCACCGAGTGGTGGCTGTGCTGGGAGCTCCTGTGTCCCCGGAGGAGCCTGGGTGGCCTGGCCACATTGGGGCACTAATGCCCCGTCTTCCGTGAGGCCCGTGTGGGGACCCGGCGTGGGGTGGGGAAGATGCCCCTCGCCCTTCCCAGGCGTGTCTCCTCCCCTAGGCCTTGGGGACACCTTGTGGGCATGGCTGGAGGATGGCCCCCCACGTTTGCTCTTCTCCGAAGGGCCCATTGCTGCTGGGCTGGGCTGGCCGGGCCCCTGGACTTGGCTGTCACCACCTGAGCTCCTCGTATGGCAGCCTGTGGGGTCCCCGTGGGCCAGAGAATCGTTCTTGAAGCATCTTGCCTCCCAGTCTGCAAGTGAGGGACTGGCCATCAGCCTGTCACCCTCCAGAGGGGGAGTGCGGGGCAGTGCTCCACATGCCCACCCGGCCGGGCGAAGCCGTGATGCTTGGAGCGTGTCCTTTGGCACGCGCCACAACCCAGACGTTTTCAATAAATCGGTGGTACACCCGGGGCTGGATGTCCCATACCTGCTTGACATTTTGTGTTTGCTGCACGTGGACGTGAACTGTGGCCTTCGAGTCCAAAAGCCTCACTGTGTGCAGCCTGGCGGGCTCTGCCTGGGGGTCGGTGACGGAGGAGGACGAGGACGACTGTTCACGGCCTGACCAGAGCTGGCACTGGGGCCTAGGCTTTTCTGTCCCAAAGTGCATTGTATGGCTGAGCACTTCCAAGGGCAGGACACCAGGGACAGTGGCCTCTCGGGGGATGGAGGTTGTCAGAACCCTGTTGCCGTCAGAACCCTGTTGCCCTCAGTCCCCTGTAGCGGTGCTTTGGGCAAGGGGCGCCACCCTGTCCCTGTTGTGCCCTAGCTAGCAGCCTGTGACTGTTGGCAAGGACCCAGGTTGCTGAGTTCTTTGGACACCTGGGTGGTCAGGCTGCAGCTGGGCATTTGGAGCAGGGGTGACATGGGAGCCCTCAGAGCTGTGGGGGTCACTGCTGGCTCCCTTCCCCAAGGACACTGGTGCAGGCGTTTGAACGGACAGCTCCCTCCCCAGTCAAGTCGAAGCACAAATTCCATGAACCATGAAGGCTGCCTGGGCGCTCGTGGCGAGCCCTGCCCTGTGTGGGCCCTGGTGCCGGTGCAGGGAGTCTGGCCACCACAGGTCCCCAGGAAGGCCCCTCCTCTGAGGCCACAGCCTCTCTGAATGAAAAGCCCCGGGTGGGAAGACTGGCCCCCGCCTAGCAGAGGGTCTGGATGAAGGGCCTGCTGGGAGGCTGCTGTGGGTGACAGCTGAATAAAGCTCAGGCGAGCGTAGTAGTTCAGTCTGAAGACCAGTGTTTGTGTCTGAGAGATGCGGGCCTCACCCAGGCCCCCCGGGACTGCGCCCCATGTGCCATCAGTCCTGGGCTGGGTGCAGTTCCCTGTGGCCTTGAGAGGCGCAGACCTTGGGACAGGGCCTGGCCCTGTTAGTACGTGTGGAGGATTCCAGAAAACGTGGGGTGCTTGGAGTCCCAGTGTACCGCGGGGGCACAGCCCTCGTGGCCAGCACTAACAGGTCCAGTGGCCATTTGGCCCCTCACCTGCCTGCATGGGGTCTCTCTATCCATCTGTTCCTTCCCAGGCCTCTCCACGTGCATTGTCTGTGGTCAGCCCTGCCCATGCCAGGCCCTCACCCAGCTTGCCCAGGGGCACCAGCTGGAGAGTGGTGGGGCAGCCTGTGATGGGTCTCCGTGGCTCTGCTGTGCCCAGCTGGCCGCTGAGAGGCCCTGAGCACTCACGGGCCTGGGGCCCAGGGCCCAGGGCATTCTGCGTGAGGATAGGCCACCTCAGCTCGTCACAGAGTCCCCACACCACAGCCCACGCTGGCGCTGAGCCACCTTCCAAGGTCCATAGCTCCTCCTGGACTCTCCTCTTCCCAGCGAGACCCCCAGCAGCAAGAGCAGTGGTGTTTCTGACCCAACAGCACAGAGGCGCCCTCACCACACACATTGAGCTGCCCCCAGCCCCAGGCACGCAGAGCTTTCTGAAGCACCCCACACCCCGACTGGGGTGGGGCCTTGCCTGTGGGAGCCTCCTGTGGTTGCTGGCACAAGTCACCATGAACTGTGACAAACTACATGCAGTGATCCTCACAGTTCTGGAGTCGGGAGACCACTGCGGGTCTCATGGAGTTAAATCCAGGTGTGAGCAGGGCTGGTCTCTGTCTCATAGTCACAGCCAGCTGCACAGCCTCGTCCATCTCTCTGAGCCTCCCCCTTATGAGGACCCCGCGAGGACACTGGGCCCCCAGGAACCCAGGGTCGTCCCTATCTCAGAGACCTTGACCCCACCCGCAGAGTCTCTCTGCCATGTGAGGTGACATGTCTGCAGGTCCCATGGATTGGGGGTGAAAGTCTGTGTGGTTCACTATTCAGCCCACCACAGAGCACCCCTCCACTGAACCTTCCGTGTCCCCGTCCCCCTTGGGGCCAAGACACCGTCAGTATAGCCTTTGAG